TTGAAGGAACTCCTCCATCATCATATTTTGGTAGGCTAAAGGATAGAATTGCTCAACAAAGGCAATCCAAAAAACATGCCACGTGATGGCCGATGGGTCCTGATACTGTCTTCTAACTGACTCCCACCAGTACCTTGCATTTCTGGAAAGGAAAAAGGTAGCCAGAACCACTCTGCGCTCCTGTAGGACATCCATCACATCCACAATTCTTTCCATCTCTATCCATTCTTCAGCCATGGCGGGATCACCATCACCATTAAATTCCACTACCCCCATCCTTTTAGCCTGGTCTGCATATGTCAAAGATGCATCTCTGTGTTGCCCGGTCCTGGATAAGGCCTGGGTCAATAACTCCAGTGTCTGCTGAAAATTTGGATCAATCGGTGGAGTGGGCATCACCGGTACAACTCCTGCTAGACCTTTTACGTAAGATTGCTCAACTTGTTCCGGTACTGGACCCGAAATCGGAGGGTTCTCCGGCTAAGGAGAAGGATCTTGTCCTCTTAGTCGGGACACCCATCGAATTCCCCTATGAGTGCCACCACGATTAGGGCCCATGATTCTGTCACAAGAAACATGAATTCATTAAAACAGGAATCCACACAAGGTGCGCAATCTACAGGAATTTAAACCTAACGCTCCAATACCAAGTTGACAGGACCCGACCCAAATTTCACTTCCAAATATGAGCCGAACCATGTGCGTGTCGGACACCTGGCAGGTGCCAGGCACACTTGACTAAATTGCCCGTCTAACAAACCAAAGTTAACTTCAAGTTTGACTTCTGCCTAAAATTCGGCAGAATCTCCCTTGTAAGTAGTCATTTCCCAAAAATCTTCCACCTGTACAAAATACAATTATAATCCCAACCGTTCAACATGCATCAAGTTTAAATTCAAGCAATCCAACTACAGAACTATGTGGCCTCAGGCCTTACAGAAATCCTAGGGCAATTTCAAACCAATACTAATTAGTTTAATTCAGAGGAGTAGTTCGATTACAACAGAAATCCTACTTAGTGGAAAGGATGAGTGAAGAGTTATGACTGCCCTGTTGTGGCGCTCTGGTACACGACTACTACCTGGGGGTGCAAAACATTTAAAAATGTGAGTTGACAAAAGTAAAATTTTGGAAAATAGAATATGAACATACTAACCCCACTGTTAAAACATTTAGAAAAATTCAATTATCTCAGTATTCTATATTCGTAATAAAGTTCAAGCATGCATATCTACATACATATAACTGATCAAGCATTCAAACAAATCATTGAAAACGTTTGAAAGCATTGTAAAATATTAATTACTTTCCACCTAGGTGTACCCATCATATATCCGTCAATTCCTTAATTTCCGTTAATTCCCATATTATACCATCAATTCCCACAGTATACCGTCAATTCCTTGTGTCACAATTTGTGACACGTCCTCACAGGTCTCGGTAACATAAAGTCGACCCGAGCCGCAATCCTCGCAGGATTCAAGGGACATTTAGTCAGCTAGATCTACATTCCTCGCTTCGCACGATTCGGGCGTCCCCAAAACTCATGGGGCATTGTCAAATGCGCACTGACTCAACTGAAGGCAACTACAATGTCCATTGACATTATTATAACCGAACGCAACAATTTATCTAAAGGCAACATATTTATCCGAGGCAACATTCATTCCTAAGGCAACATTTATTCCGAAAGCAACATGGGTACCTATGGTGGTTTATAAAAAACATTTCCTAGAAAATCATAAAAACTATTTCTCATCCATCCTTAAATTATGTTGCCACTATACGTCCAACTTTCCAAGCCATGCTCAACTTAAATATAAACAGGATATAATAAAAATATATGAAATCAAACAATCATACTTGGAAAGTAAAAATTCATAATAACTCATTCAAGGTCAAATAATAAAACTTTAATTGCATAAAATCATTTATAAAATAAAAGTCCACTCACAGAGCGTCCGAGTTCGCTTGACCGTTTGAGGGTCCCTCCTGCGAGTCCGCTGGTGCCCGAGTACCTATTAATGCCATTACAAATATTAAATTAATAAAATTATTCAACATAAATATTTAATCCAGAACCTTGACCCCCAACTTCTAAAAGTGCGTGACTCATTTTAAGACCATTCCTATGCCCACTTAAACATTTCAGACGATTAGAACGGTCCGAAAAGACCCGAGACTCGATAAACGATAAATTTGCCATATTGCTCAATCCGAGACCCCGTGGGGTCCACGACCTCTAATTATCAATCTGAGAGTTCCTATTGGTTCCTCACATTTAAATAACCCTATCCTGCAAGTCTAGTCTGAATCAGACGATCGGATTGCTCACGATCGTACGATCGAACGGTTACAGCTAATTTAGCCCTAGGGTTATCTATTTCGGATTATCGAAGACTCCGATTCACGATCCGTCGAATCCTATATGATCCTAGAAGTACAAGATAAAACATACATGAATTTGATCTCGATCCAAAGGTCCGAACATATCAAACCCGGATATCGCACAATAGGAGAAATCCGTTCGAGGCTCAAACGATAACCAAATTGAAATCCGAGCACACCTACGCGCTCGTGACAACCTAGGGATCATTTTAGGATAAATTTTGGCCCCACAATATTACCCACGCGCCGAGGAAGGTACTTCCAATCTTCTTGGCTTCGACTCAATTCCTTTTCTAGCATGGCAATGACATCTTCTTGGGTGACAAAAGATGGTCCCTTTTGTTTAGACCTCTTTCCGACAGCAACAGACTCTTGTGGAAGTCTCTCGTTTTCTTTACTTCACTTAGCAACTGAACTTTTCAACTCCTTGATTGTGTTTGCCATTTCCCTCTAGGTGTCCCTCATAGCATGGATGGCTGCAACAAGGTCTGAGAGGGTAAAAGCTCCCTCACTTGCACGTTCTTGTTCTCTAGATGAGGCATTCTGCCTTGATTCCGAATCACCATGGCTTGGCCCATCTTGGGAAGTCATGTTGTTCCTTATGGTCTTCTTCTTTAAAGGGATCAATGAAGATAATGGCCTAATCCCCAGTGAAGTCGCCAATTTATGTAAGGGACTTTTTCTTCCAGCAGCTGTAAATGGGTTGGGCTGCCGTAAGGGCAGACTGATGAAATTTTCCCCTTTGTCTGAGTTCAAAAATTAAATCCCAAAAATGCTTCGAAAGGGCAGCAGAGCCTTAGGAAGTATTTTGGTTACCTTCATCAGCCAAAACAATGGCAACTTACAAGTAATTTTTGCATGCTTACAGATAAACTTTTGAGCTTGGCATGAGAGGCATGTGGCCGGAAGCAAAATCAACATGAGTTTAGCACTGAGGGGAAATTTAGGCTTTCTTAGGGGGAAAAATGGAAGTGTTAAGGTGAGAAAGGAGAGATTTGTAGGAGATTTGGCTAGGAAGAGAGAAATGAAGAACAATGCTCTTCCGGCAGCTTGACAGATACTCTGTCTGCCATAAGAGAAGAATGGAGAAGAGGGTGAACAGTGCACAAGATTGCTGAGTTTTTGCAAGTTAGAGAGAAAGCTTGCTCTCTGAATCTGGGTTGGTTTCGTTGGGTAGGAGATGCCTCATTTTATAGCTGCTGGAAATCATTCCTTCCCAAGAAACCTTAATGGTTTCTACCCATTTTGGCTAAGTTTTTCCCTTCCTTTCTCTTCTCCTCCCTTGGCTTTTCCTATCTTGGTGAAATTTCCTCTGTCTATTCGCACAAAATCAGGAACTTTGGGAGCTCAAGGCCCCTTTCCCGCGGCTATTCCAGTGGGAGGCTCCATTCTTAGCTATTTTTCTTCTTCTTTCCTTCCTCATTCCTTGGTCAGATCTGATGAAGGAAAGGAAGTGGATATACATGCTGGTTCAAAGGGTGCTTCTGGCAGCTCGCAGGCTAATATTCTTTGGTTCCTTGAATGTTTCTTGCTTGGAACTTGCTCCCCCCATGTGCTGGAACCTCCAGCAGCTTTGTTCAATAAATCTTCAGACCTCCCCCTTCGTGGCTTCTATTTTTCTAGCAAGGGGCAGAGGCTTTTGTGGCTTATCTTGAAGTTTTGTATGGGCCAAGGTGGTTCCTTAAGTAAGTGGGCTATTTAAAACGTTTGGGCTTTTTGGTTGAGTCAATAGGCTATTTTGATTGGGCTGATTTTTTGTTGGGTTATTTTCCCTTTTGTGCTCACCCATGTGTTTGGGCCAAAGAAATGGACTTGAGTCCCGAGGCTCGACCAAGCAACCAGAGACTTCCATTTCTCGGGCCATCAATGGGCCTCATGTTGATTTATTACCATCCATACCACAACCAACTCAAGCAAGCCCCAGGTATTTGAGCGGCTTGGGCCCGCTTAGGCTTGTGGCGTGGTTGGGTGCGAAATAATAATTTCGTGCTTGGCATGGCATGTCGCTTGGCACGTTTTTAATTGTGATGCTTGATGGGATAATTAGCATGGATTTGTAGAGCTAATGCATTTTATAATCTTAATCTCGATTCCTAGCATGACGGATTATTTATTTGGCATGGCACGTGGAGTGTGACTCGTGCATGGCGGACTTTCGTGTGCTCCAAATTGGGTCTTTTCTCAATAATATATCGTTTTGGGCCGAGAATATATTCGGGCCCAACCGTGGATTTTTTGGGCCTCAACACATTTCTTTTTCTTTTCTTTTTTTACAGTTTTCTTTTTTTTTTTCTTTTTTTTTTTTGAAAAGTACTGAGAACATGTTTGGTAACTTTTTTTTCTTCTATGATTTTCATCTTTAACTTCTTGGTTTTGATCACATCGACAAAAACTTGTGAGTTTCGGTTGTTGTTTTCATCTATAATCATGTGATTAATGTTAGACAATTATGAATATGGACTAATCTTGCAACACATGTCATCATCTAAATGTCTCTAACAAGTACCATGATAGAAAACCATTAGGTTCCAAAAACATAAGCTATCAAAGAAATGTGAGTGAACAATATTGTAGATCAAGCCAACAGTGTACAAGTTTCTTTCTCCACGCTCATGACCAGCATAAATAGAGAACACCCTAGTGTTGGCTTAGCATCTTCTATGGCTGCAGTCATTTTCAATGGAAGACCATTGACCCCTGATGTGGTGATTGATGAAACATGGTTTTCAGATCCTCTTGTTTGTGAGAATTTGAACGTAAGTGTGTAGGCTTCCATGCTTATTATCTTCTTCCAAGTTACACCTTTTATTTATGAAATTCATTATCATTTGTTATTTGGCATCTTCTGTTGCTTCAGTCATGGCAATATATCTTGGTTTAGTATGAACTTCCTTTCCTCTCTTTGTCCAGGAATGGTATTTTCTTTCAAAAACTTTAGCTGTGGGGGCTGCTTGGAAATTTGCTATAGGAAATGGGATTGACTTGGTTACCATAAATCCATCATATGTGATTGGTCCACTCTTACAACCAAGTCTTAATCTCACTGTGGAGATGATTCTGAATCTCAAAGATGGTACACTTCAGAAACTATATGTATATATATTTTAGAGCAAGAGAATGATGGAGACTCAGAATTAACTTAGTTAGGGCCACAAGCAAGATTGTTTTAGATGCAGGCAATTTTTTAGCAAATTAGATGTGTACCAAAACATTTGCTTGGAGTACGAATGTTCATCGAATGTTTAAGTAACCAAATCTTGATTCTTGTGGTGCAAGATTCAAATGATTCTTGTGATGGAAGTTTGTTTCTTTTCTATGCAGATATTGAAGATGTAAACAGTTCAATTTATACATCTAGTGATGTTAGAGATGTTGCCTCAGCTCATGTTCAAGCATTTGAGGTTCCTTCAGCTAATGGAAGATATTGTTTAGTTGGACATGTTACACCCATGGCCAAGGTTCTGAAGATTTTACATGATCTTCATCCCTCTCTTTGCCCACCTGAAAAGTAAGTTCTAATTTGCAAAATGCCACAAATTGGCAATTTTCTTTTTCGAATATGACAAATTTCTAAGGGAAGGAAAGATTTATCTGTTTCGTTGTTGGCAGATATGAGGAGGCCAATCCTTCTGAACCCACATTTCAAGTATCACAGGAAAAAGCAAAAAGTTTGGGAGTAAATTTCCTTCCACTGGAAATAAGTCTTAGGGACACTATTGAAAGCCTCAAGGAGAAGGGCTTCCTCAAGGTTTGAATCATAACTGACAGCAACTTGCTCATTGCACAAGTTGATCGCGTATTGCAAAATTCAAGTGTTTTTTTTTTTCTGCTAAATTTATCCTAAGGGATTGTGAAAGTAATATTGTTCATGCTCAGACTTTTATCTGCAATTGCCCAGAATGGTCAGGAGTTGCTTTCAGCTCTTGATAGCTCAATTGAAGAAACCCTTGTTTGAAAATGAACCAAACCAAGTAACTTTTCATTTCTCTGGTGTACACCAACCAAAGTGCCGTTAATTTTTCTGTTTTCTAATAAAAATTACTATTAGCTTTTCATTTGTTTATATGGCCTGATTGTGTTATGAATTAATCATGTATTTTATTACTATCCCCAGTAAAATAAGAGTGCAAACAAGACTATAGAGTTTGAAAATCGCAATAACATGTATACAGTGTTCACATGCATCTTTCCACCTTCTTTATTTTTGTTTTAGTATAAGCGATGAGAATGGAATTTCTCACACACACAACTAAGACGTTATGAAAGTTCGAACATAAGATCTCTTGTTAAGTTAAGACATTTTTCCACACCTTCTTTATTATATATGGAGTATAAGCATAAATTCCAGAAGAAAAAAAATCATATAATATAAAGCATGTGGCCCCATTAAACTCTACATCCGTCACGCGTAGAGAGAAACTTACCTACCCACACTAACTAGTGTGATCCCATCTCATTTAATCATTTGTACTAGGTCTCAATATATTAATTCCCAAACTTTTTAAAGTTGCTGCCTGCCAAGGGAAAAACTCAACCAAGTGAAAAGCCCAAAAATCCAACTCAACCATCCAAGAGAATAATAATTAAGGGTTCAACATTAAAATACCACAACACGAATGAATAATTATCAAAACCCCTCACACAAAAGAAAACCCAAGAAATATATATAGTCAAGGGTTAATCCTGTCACAAAAATTCTCTCAATTATAGGCTTTATTGCACTTCATCATCTAAAAATTTGAATCGATTTGTCATCTCAATTAAAATTTTGTTACAATTTGCGTACCTAGGATAAACTTCATCCGTTTTTTCATTATAAATGTTTAATGCACTTTGACTTCAAGTTTTTTTTTTTTTTTTTTTTTAAGTGAATAGATAGTATATAACCAAAAAATGATGGCCAAGGAGGGTTTAACGACGGAACCCCACAGCGACGAAGAACCAGCCTCCAAAACCCTTCACAAAATTGGCACTTAAAATAAAAGTGGTCATGAGATTCTACAGAAGTAGCTTCCACGTTTTTGTCCATCTTCTTGAGCTCAAAATGTCTTAAGTATTTGCATTAAACGATCTCAATTTTTTTTTTTTTTTTTTTTTTTTTTTGCCATTAAAAATAATAATAATAAATCAGTTGTTCATGTCATTCGTTGAATTGAGGTATGCTTAACATAAAACAAGGCAGGAAGCATATCTTGGTTTAGTACCAACTTTTTTCTCTTCTCTATGTCCAGAAATGGTATGTTCTTTCAAAAACTTTAGCTGAGGAAGCAGCTTGGAAATTTGCTGAAGGAAATGGGATTGACTTGGTTACCATAAATCCATCCTATGTGATTGGTCCACTCTTACAACCAAGCCTTAACATCACCGTGGAGATGATTCTCAACTTCAATCTTTGCTTGGTACACTTTAGCAACTATATATGATTTTCCTTTTTCAATCTTTGCTTGGTTAGAGCAGACTATGATGGAGAGTTAGAATTAACCTAGTTGAGGCAGCTAGCATAATGATTGTTGAGTCTCAAAACATTTTCTTAGAGTAGTAGGTATGTTTATCGAACGTTAACGTAACGAAATGTTGGTTCAGGTAACAAAATAACATTTTAAGTTAGTCATTTGATGTTAGATGATTCTTGTGATGCAAGTTTGTTTCTTTTCTATGCATGCAGATATTGAAGATGTAAACAGTTCAATTTATTCATGTAGTGATGTTAGAGATGTTGCCTCAGCTCAAGTTCAAGCATTTGAGGTTCCTTCAGCTAATGGAAGATATTGTATAGTTGGACATGTCACACCCATGGCCAAGGTTCTGAAGATTTTACATGAACTTCATCCCTCTCTGTGCCCACCTCAAAAGTAAGTTATAACTTGCAAAATGCCACAAATTGGAAATTTTCTTTTTCAAATATGACAAATTTCTAAGGGAAGGAAAGATTTATTTTTTTCATTGTTGGCAGATATGAGGAGGCCAATCCTTCTGAACCCACATATCAAGTATCACAGGAAAAAGCAAAAAGTTTGGGAGTTAATTTCCTTCCACTGGAAGTAAGTCTTAGGGACACTGTTGAAAGCCTCAGGGAGAAGGGCTTCCCCAAGGTTTGAATTATGCAACTGAAGGCAACTTGTTCATTACACAAGTTTATCCAAAGAGATTGTGAAAGTATTATTGTTCAGGTTCAGACTTTCTATATTTGTCTGCAGCATTTGCCCCCAATGTTTCAGCTCGATTGAACATTAATTAAAATGAAGTAACTTTTCAATCACTGGTGTACCAACCAAAAGTGTCTTTAATTATCTGTTTTATAATAACAATTTCTATTAACTTTTTCTTCATTGAGTTTTATCCTAATAACTTATGGCCTGCTTGAATTCAATCAAATGAAATGAAAGAACTACATAAACACATAGCAGAAGGGTTACTGTCATAGAAGCAAGAGAAAGACTTCTGATGACCAAGGTGCATAGCCTAACACTGCAATTCCAACATAACATGGTTTTTCTTAGGAGCAACACACCTCTTCGAATGTTATGGCTACAAGGGTATACTGATGCAATACTTTCCAAGCTGCAATACTCTTGTAGCCATGGCCATCGTCATGTCTTCTGTTCTACCGTCGTCATTCTCTGGGTCTTTTTCCCTTTTTGTAGTATTGTACCATTAAAATTTGTGTTGAAGTGGTCATCATCGACCGAACTAAAAATAATTAAGCTCACTTAATCAAGTATATAAAAGGCTGAAGTACCATGACTTCCAACTGTAAATCTTAATGTGATGAGAGGAGAAGGATGAGCCAAGAAAGAAAGGTGGTGTGTATAACAAGAGCATCTAGTTTCATAGGATCATGGCCTATCAAGCTCTTGCTAGAATGAGCTTATACTGTCAAAGCCACTGTCCAGGACCCAACCCAAATTCCATTTTCGAATCTGAGCCGAATCCTGTACGTGTTCGACACCTGGCGGGTGCCGAGCACACTTGACTAAATTGCCCGTCTAACAAAACCGAAGTTAACCTCAACTTTGACTTCTGCCTAAAATTCGATACAGTCTCCCTTGTAAATAGTTGTTTCCCAAAAATCTTCCACCTGTACAAAATCCATTTCTAATCCCAACCGTTCAGCAGCAAGTTCCAAATCAGGAGTAGAATATACAAGGTTTCAACTCATGCTTCATATGCACCTTTTGAATTTTAGAATATACAAGAATATCATCTATGAACACAATCACAAAGCAATCCAAGTAACGTCGGAACACTCTGTTCATCAGATCCATAAATGTTGCTGGCGCATTAGTCAATCCAAAAGGCATCACCAAAAATTCATAATGACCATATCTTGTTTAGAAAGTAGTCTTAGGCACATCCTCTTCTCTGATCCGCACTGTAACCTTATTCAACTGTCTATAATCAATACATAACCTCATGGTGCCATCATTCTTCACAAATAGAACTGGTGCACCCCAATGAGAGAAACTGGGTCAGATGAAACCCTTGTCCACCAACTCCTGCAACTGAGTTTTCAACTCCCTTAATTCAGTTGTTGCCATTCTATACGGTGCCTGAGAGATAGGGTTCGTCCTTGGAACGAGCTCAATGGTGAACTCGATCTCCCGATGAGGAGGTAATCCACGAAGATCCTCAAAAAACACATCCGGAAATTCCCGTACCACTGGAATATCCTCCAACCTCAATCCATTATCCCGAGTGTCAATTACGTGAGCCAAGTATCCTAAACACCCCTTTTTGAGCAACCGTCTTGCCGTCATAGCTGATATGAGGCAGTTGGAAGAACTCTACGCTCACTACAGAAAGTCACCTCAAGTTGTCCTGGACTACGGAGTACGACCTCCTTCCGGAAACAATCGACCGAAGCACAATGCTTAGCTAACCAATCCATACTCAGAATAACATCCAAATCCACCATATCTAAAGGAATTAAATCTGCCTCCAGAATTACATCCCCTACCAAAACCATGCTACCCCTGTACACTACACCAACTGTAAAGACATCTCCCATGAGTACAGAAATAGCAAGTTCCTCACACAAGGTCGTAAGTCTCACATTCGCATTGTGAGCAAAACAATGTGCAACAAAAGAATGCGTATCCCCAGTGCGTATCCCCAGGGTAATGTACCTATGATCACATCAGGTGACGCCTGTGCCTCCTGCTAAGACATGTTGTGTACTCGCCCGATAGCTCTAGAACGTCCACCACGTCCCCTCTGCTATCTGCCACCTATGCTAGCCATCATGGTCTGGGCCCCACTACTAGACAAGCCCCCACAATCTGTGATGTACTATGTACTCTGCACTGTGCACCCGTCCCCTAGGTTGGCCCAATAGAGATTTCTCTACTCTATAGAAGCATCGGGCACTCTCTTCGAAAATGCCCCGACTGACCACAGCGATAGCACCCAATGGTGCCCTGCTGACAAGGCCCGGTATGGAACCTGCCGCATAAAGCACACTGGGAGCGATTCCTCCCCCTAAAAATTGGATGCAGCTGTCTCCCTAAACCTCTGGATATGCTACCTCTGAAACGGTCGTCTCCCTTATGCTGTCTGCCACCTATGCTAGCCATACTAGTTTGGGCCCCACAACTAGATGAGGCCCCCACAATCTGTGATGTACTCAGTACTCTACTCTGTGCACCCGTCCCCTGGGTTGGACCAGTGGATATTTCTCTACTCCGCAGAAGCATTGGGCACTCCCTTCAAAAATGCCCCGACTGACCACAGTGATAGCACCCAGTAGTGCCCTGCTGACAAGGCCCGGTATGGAACCTGCCGCATAAAGCACACTGGGAGCGATTCCTCCCACTAAAAACTGGCTGCAGCTGTCTCCCTGAACCACTAAATGTGCTATCTCCGGAATCAGAACTCCCACTTTGGTTGGACCCTCCGCTGGAGCTTACTCCAGCTCGAAAACCTCCACAGCTATGACCACTGGATGATCGAGAGCTGAAACTACCTCGCTTGGATGACCCCTGATTGAGACCACCCATGTCATATTGTCGTTTACGGAAATTACTTCGTCCTTGGACCATCATCTGACTGCGTTCAACTAATGAGGCAGACATCACCAAATCTCCGAAATTAGCCAAACGCTGTCCCACTACGATGTCACGAATGGATGTCTTTAATCCTCTGGTAAACAGCTGACACTTCTCTCTTTCATCCGCCACAAGCGGTGCACAGTACTCAGACAATTCATTGAATTTCTTCTCATACTCTAACACCGTCATAATGCCCTGTTCAAGTTGAAGGAACTCCTCCATCTTTATATTTTGGTAGGCTAAAGGATAGAACTGCTCAACAAAGGCAGTCCAAAAAACTTGCCACGTAATGGCCGATGGGTCCTGATACTGTCTTCTAACTGACTCCCACCAGTACCTTGCATTTCTGGAAAGGAAAAAGGTAGCCAAAACCACTCTGCGCTCCTGTGGGACATCCATCGCATCCATAATTCTTTCCATCTCTATCCATTCTTCAGCCACGGCGGGATCACCATCACCATTAAATTCCACTACCCCTATCTTTTTAGCCTGGTCTGCATATGTCAAAGATGCATCTCTGGGTTGCCCGGTCCTGGATAAGGCCTGGGTTAATAACTCCAGTGTCTGCTGAAAATTTGGATCAATCGATGGAGTGGGCATCACCGGTACAACTCCTGCTAGACCTCTTACATAAGACTGCTCAACATGTTCCGGTACCGGACCCGGAATCGGAAGGTTCTCCGGCTCAGGAGAAGGATCAAGTCCTCTTAGTCGAGACGCCCGTTGAATTCCCCTACGAGTGCCACCACGTTTAGGGCCCATGATTCTGTCACAAGAAACATGAATTCATTAAAACAAAAATGCACACAAGGTGCGCAATCTACAAGAATTTAAACCTAACGCTCTAATACCAAGTTGACAGGACCCGACCCAAATTTCACTTTCGAATCTGAGCCAAATCCTGTGCGTGTCGGACCCCTGGCAGGTGCCGGGCACACTTGACTAAATTGTCCATCTAACAAACCAAAGTTAACTTCAAGTTTGACTTCTGCATAAAATTCGGCAAAATCTCCCTTGTAAATAGTCGTTTCCCAAAAATCTTCCACATGTACAAAATGCAATTATAATCCCAACCGTTCAGCATGCATCAAGTTTACATTCAAGCAATCCAACACCAGAACTATGTGGCCTCAGGCCTTATAGAAATCCTAAGGCAATTTCAAAGCAATACTAATTAGTTTAATTTAGAGGAGTAGTTCGATTACAACAGAAATCCTACTTAGTGGAAAGGATGAGTGAAGAGTTGTGACTGCCCTGTGGTGGCACTTTGGTTCACGACTACTGCCAGGGGGCGCAAAACATTTAAAAATGTGAGTTGACAAAAATAAAATTTTGGAAAATAGAATATGAACATACTAACCCCACTGTTAAAACATTTAGAAAAATTCAATTATCTCAATATTCTATATTCGTAATAAAATTCAAGCATGCATATCTACATACATATAACTGATCAAGCATTCAAACAAATCATTGAAAACGTTTTGAAAGCATTGTAAAACATTAATTCCTTTCCACCTACGTGTACCCATCATATATCCGTCAATTCCCACATTATACCATCAATTCCCACAGTATACCGTCAATTCCTCATGTCACAATTTGTGACACGTCCTCGCAGGTCTCGATAACACAAAGTCGACCCGAGCCGCAATCCTCTCAGGATTCAAGGGACATTTAGTCAGCCAGATCCGCATTCCTTGCTCCGCACAACTCGAGCGTCCCCGAAACTCATGGGGCATTGTCAAACGCGCGCTGACTCAACCGAAGGCAACTGTAATGTCCGTTGACATTATTATAACCGAACACAACAATTTATCTTAAGGCAACATTCATTCCTAAGGCAACATTTATTCCGAAGGCAACATGGGTACCTATGGTGGTTTAAAAAAAACATTTCCTGGAAAATCATAAAAACTATTTCTCATCCATCCTTAAATTATGTTGCCACTATACTTCCTAATTTCCAAGCCATGCTCAACTTAAATATAAACATAATATAATAAAAATATTCGAAATCAAACAATCATCCTTGGAAAGTAAAAATTCATAATAACTCATTCAAGGTCAAATAATAAAACTTTAATTGCATAAAATCATTTATAAAATAAAAGTCCACTCACTGAGTGTCCGAGTTCGCTTGACCCTTTGAGGGTCCCTCCTGTGGGTCCGCTGGTGCCCGAGTACCTATTTATGCCATTACAAACATTAAATTAATAAAATTATTCAACATAAATATTTAATCCAAAACCCTGACCCCCAGCTTCTAAAAGTGCGTGTACTTATTTTAAGAACATTCCTATGCCCAATTAAACATTTCAGACTATTAGAACGGTCCGAAAAGACCCGAGACTCGATAAACGATAAATTTGCCATATTGGTCAATCCGAGACCCCGTGGGGTCCACGACCTCCAATTATCAATCCGAGAGTTCCTATTGGTTCCTCACATTTAAATAACCCTATCCTGCAAGTCTGGTCGGAATCGGACGGTCGGATTACTCACGATCAGACGGTTACGGCTAATTTAGCCCTAGGGTTAGCGATTTCGGAGTATCCAAGACTCCGATTCACGATCCGTCGAATCCTATATGATCCTAGAAATACAAGATAAAATAGACGTGAATTTGAGCTCGATCCAAAGGTCCGAACATATCGAACCCAGATATCGCACAATAGGCGAAATCCGTTCGAGGCTCAAAAGATAACCAAATTGAAATCCGAGCACACCTACACGCTCGTGACAACCTAGGGATTATTTTAGGATAAATTGTGGCCCGCACAATATTACCCACGCGCCGGCAGCGCGTGGGTGGTTTGATCAATTCTGGCTGCCGGAAAAATTTAAAATCGAGGGCCAAGATTCCTACCACAGGTTCAGGACGTCGATTGGAGCCACTTTTTTTCTGGGACCTACCTCTAAAAACGACTGGAAATGGCCGGAATTTGAAACTGAAAACCGGCCAAACTTTGGACCGTGATTTGATCTACCTATGCTAGAAATCGTTCCAATCCTACCCAACCATCAGCTAGAGCACGAAAAATAGGTGAGAAACCATACCTCACTCGTCGGAAACAGTGGCCGGAGGAGGGAGAACGAGCGGGCTGGAAATTTCGAACGGAAACCGGGTGGTTTTTGGCAGATTCCGGCGATCACAGCAAACGGCAGCAGCTGAGACTGGTCGGGAAAGGACGGGGCAAATAAGGCGGTTCGAACCGGTCCGGTCTCGTGGCCTGTGGTGCAGTGTGGCGGCGGCTGGAACGAAAAAACCAGTCCGCTGCTACAGTCGGGGGGGAAGCGGATCGCGCGACGGGGAGAGAGAGAGAGAGAAATCTGGTTTTTAAAACCAGTTTTGTAAAATTACAGTTTTGCCCCTTCGTAAGTTTTGATGGTACATTTCTCAATACAACTCGGATTTGAGCCCACTACATGTCTACGGACTCGTCGCGACGTGCTCTATGCAATGATATAATTGAAATTTCCAAATTCCTTCCCAATAAAAAAGTCAACTTTTAACCTAATAAAATATTCTAAGGGCAAAATAGTTTTTTATCAGAATAAATTTATAATTAAAAATTAATTTAGAATCGGGTTGTTACATATTACATATTTCTTCACCATTGGATTGTATATATGTTGCATATTAAATTAACCAATACATTTAATAAATGCAATCCAACAGCAGATTAGAAATATGTAATCAATTATTCTCCCCCTAAACTTGGTATCAAACTAATTACCTGCTTGTAGGGGTGAGCATTTTAACCGAAAACCCGACCGAACCGACCAAACCGGACCGCCGAAGGTGGTTTGGTTCGGTTTTTACACTGGAAAAGTGAAGAATCGGCAAAAAAACCGGCCGAACCGGCCATGAACCGGGTTGGACCGGTTTTAATTGGCTGCAAACCGGCGAAAACCGGACCGGACCGAGTAAATTTTTTTTATTATAAAAAAATACGTAATATAGGTGTTAAGTGATGATTCGTCGAGCGAAAACCATTTCCTACTCTATGTTACACCGGATTGAGCGAAACCCTAAAACTGAAACACATTGCTTCGATTTTTTTTTTCTCCATCTCGCCTCTTCGCCTCTCAGACTCTCTATCTCGCCGCTGCTCTTTGAATCACTCTCGGCTCTGCCTTTCTGAATCACTCTCGGTTGTCTTTTCTTCCTTCTCTCACCCGCATTCTCTCTCTCTCTCTCTCTCTCTCCTTCCCCCTCTCTCTCTCTCTCCTTCTCTCCGATCACTCAGTCTCTCAGTCACTCTATCTCTCACCAGCTCTGACTCTCGTCTCCCTTCCAATTTCGCTCGCTCTCTCTCTCTCTCTCAGCCACTCTCGATCTCTGTTAGCTGCTTCCTCTCAGTCTCTTCTCTCAGTCTCTCTCGCTGTCTCTCAGTTTGTGAGGTATTAATATTTGTAAACCCTAATTAAAAATGTTAGGGATTTGACGATTTTGGTTAATTCTATTTATCTAATCTGACTCTGTTGTGATTTTTGGTGGACAGAATTGAATTTGGGATCATAGGAAACGATTGGCTTGCTCTAGGTAATTTCTCTGATCTGACTTTGTTGTTGTTTGATTTTTTTTTTCTGGTGGTGTTGTAATTTCTAGTAATATATAAGATCATAGAATTGATTTGCCATAGGATATATGAATTTCTTTGATCTGACTCTATTATAGGATATAGGATTATAGTAATATATAGCATCATTCAATAATGTGATTTGGCAGAAAATTGCATCATTGTAATGACTCTCCACAATCAGCTCCTCCAAAATCAACCCCTAGTACTTTAGGAAAAAGAAAGCCTTGTAAGAAAGCATCGGGGGTTTGGGATCATTTCACAAAGATAAAGTGTGAGGATGAAACTAGTGAGTCTAGATGCATATGCAAGTATTGTAAAAAGGACTATGCATGTGATGGTAAAAAGAATGGTACATCCACTTTGTGGCACCATTTGAGAAGTCAATGTAAGAATTCTCCATTGAGACATGAGAAAAGACAAAAAGTCCTTTCATTTGAGGGCCAAGCGAAAGGGGGTAACCTAGTATCACATGCATTTAGTAAAGAGAGATGTAGAATTGCATGTGTCAAGATGATTATTCGGGATGAGCTTCCGTTTAGTCATGTGGAGGGTATTGGGTTTCGTGAATTTTTGAAGGAGGCACAACCTAGATTTGATTTTTCGCAATTGTGCTAAGTACATTAGGGGGTCATCCCAACGGTTAGAGAAGTTTAGGGCTTGTTTGGAGATGGAGAAGGTTGATACTAGAACCATGGTTCCTTTAGATGTGTGCACAAGATGGAATTCAACTTACATGATGTTGGAGAGTGCTTTGAAGCTCCAAAAAGGTTTTGAGAGGATGGAGGAGGATGACCCAAACTTTTTGGGGTATTTTGAGGAGTATGAAGCTCATGGTAAGGAAAAGAAGAAAAAAGTTGGACCTCCAACTTCATTGGATTGGGATAATACAAAGGTATTTGTCAAATTTTTGAAGAGGTTTTATGATGCTACTTTGAGGTTTAGTGCATCAAAAACCGTGTCTTCTAATGCCCCACTCCATGAGATATGTTCTTTTTTGGAGGAGATAGACACAATGATGAATGTTGATGATGTTGTTATGTGCAAAATAGCAACAATGATGAAGAGAAAGTTTGATAAATATTGGGGAAATGTGAATAACATCAACAAGTTATTCTTTGTGGCGGTTATTTTAGATCCTCGATACAAGATGGAATATGTGGAATTTTGCTTGGGTGACTTGGTGTCCGATGAAAATGGGGTTAATGACATGTCATTGGAGATTAAGACACTTTTGCACAATTTGTATGATTACTATAAAAAGAAAAATCCAGCTGCTGCCCAAGTTTTTCATGGTAATGTAGAGAGTGAAGGATCATTGCATGTGAACAATGATGTTACTAAATCATCAAGGTTGCAAAAGTTCTTGAAGTCAAGGAGAGATAAGGATGTTGTTGAGATAAGAAATGAGATTGACAAATACCTATTGGAACCTCCCGTGAATCTTACGAATGATGAGTTCAAATTGCTTGATTGGTGGAAGGAGAATGCTACAAAATTTCCAATACTTTCTAGTATTGCAAAAGATGTATTTGCTGTCCAAGCATCAACTGTGGCTTCGGAATGTTCTTTTAGCACGGGAAAAAGAGTTGTAGATCCCTTTAGGAGTTCATTAACCCCAAAAACCGTGGAGGCATTGATTTGTTGTAGTGATTGGTTAAGGGCGGAGGAGTTTAGCTACTACAAAGAACCCGCATTGGAGGAGTTAGATTTCTACCAAGCTTTGGAAAAAGTGGAAAAAGGTTTTCTTTCTTTTCTACATTAATCATAATTTGTAGTCTCTTTGTGTTATTAATTCATATGTTTACTAACTATTTTTTCTTTCTTTGTGCAGAGGTGCAAATTTGATTTGAATATGAAACAACTCATGGGAATTGTATGTGTATATGTAATGGACATTTATTTGTTTTTATTTGGATTTTCGTTTGAACTTTGCAAATATGCAAATTGTGATTGAGATTACTCTCACAATTTGCTATGGACTGTATAATATTAATTTCTGTATTTGGACGTGTGGTGGATGATGATTTGCTATGGTTTTAAGGTTTTTTTGAAGTATTTGAATGATGAACATGTTAGTTATGTAGAGTTGGAGATTTTGGAAAAACTGTACAGGAACATTCAAAACTGGAAAAACTGGAAATGTTGAAATCTGACCAAAAAATAGAATGGGCCTGGAAAACTTTATAAAAAATAAAATAAAATAATTAAAAAAAAAAAACTCTAAAACTGATGCTTTTGTTGGGCCTCGGAAAATACCCGAACCGAACCAACCCGGCCCGACACATTCGGGTTTCGACCAACATCGAAAATGGGCTTAAAAAGGAGGTCCACGGTTTTGCAATTGGGCCTGCCGACTAAACCCGGTTCGGCGTGCGGTTTGGGCCCATAACCGGACCGACCCGACCCGTGTGCAGCCCTACCTGCTTGCTAATCATTTCTTTTTCAAATTTTTTTTTTTAACAGTTTTCATTTTTCTGGTTTTTTTTTTTTTTTTTTGAAAAGTACTGAGAATATGTTTGGTAACTTTTTTTTCTTCTATGATTTTCATCTTCAACTTCTTGGTTTTGATCACATCAACAAAAACTTGTGAGTTTCGGTTGTTGTTTTCATCTATAATCATGTGATTAATGTTAGACAATTATGAATATGGACTAATCTTGCAACACATGTCATCATCTAAATGTCTCTAACAAGTACCATGATAGAAAACCATTAGGTTCCAAAAACATAAGCTATCAAAGAAATGTGAGTGAACAATATTGTAGATCAAGCCAACAGTGTACAAGTTTCTTTCTCCACGCTCATGACCAGCATAAATAGAGAACACCTTAGTGTTGGCTAAGAACTTCTTATCTCGACCATCCATTGGAACTGTTAGCGAGTTTAATATGTACCATACATGCAATCAAATGACTGTGATTATAAATCGTTAACTGCCTTTCACATAAAATCCTTAATGGACCATCTCCCGATTATATATATGTCAAAAACATGGTTTTTAAATGTTTGCATTAGTTAATATTTTTACCATTAGGATTTATACTGGAAAGATATTAAGGTTAGAAAAGAACTTTGAAAATAAACAATATATCATCACCCAATAAAAATAAATTAATAAATGGAGCATATGTATGCAGAGGCCCTTTTGATGAACTAATTACTTTTGCATTTATGCCTGTGATGCCACAGATGACTCAAAGAAAACAGAACACTTATTGGCACTTGATTGGACAAAAGAAAGGCTGCATTTGTTCCAAGCAGATTTGATAGAAGAAGGATCTTTTGACGCTGCATTTATGGATGTGAAGGTGTTTTTCATACAGCATCCCCTGTTCTATTTTTAGCCACTAACCCTCAGGTAGTATATAATAGCATTCATCCCTTTACTTTCATTTCTTATAGAGTTCAAAACTGAAATGGTTATTTTGTCTACACAATCTCAGGCAGAATTAATTGACCCTGCAGTGAAGGGAATCCTTAATGTTCTAAAATCGTGCGTAAAATTAGCTACCGTCAAGAGGGTAGTTTTAACATCTTCTATGGCTGCAGTCATTTTCAATGGAAGACCATTGAGCCCTGATGTGGTGGTTGATGAAACATGGTTTTCAGAACGTCTTGTTTGTGAGAATTTGAAGGTAAGTGTGTAGGCTCCCATGCTTATAATCTTCTTCCAAGTTACACCTTTTATTCATGAAATTCATTATCATTTGTTATTTGGCAT